TGCACTGAACATATCCAGAAGAACTTAATTAGCCTTATAAAGACAAATGCGTGTCAGTGTCTCTACAATTAAGCGAGGAAAAAAAATGAAAACTCTCACACTATTTTCCTTTTTTGTACTCGATACAATTATTTAAGGTAACTGCTAAGATAGTTTTCGCATCATAGATGTATGATAAACAATAATCGAGTGTGACAATATGGAAAATCCTGAAACGCAATCAGCACATTTACAATCGTATATCCGCATTACAGAGGCTGTTCATATGGTAAGTAGTAGGCAAAATTCAACCGTTGAACTATGTGAATATGTTTTCTACATTCTAGTGGGTCGTCGGAAACAATAATCAATATAGCGACAGACAGTGAGAATCTCATTTGTATAATTTATTCATTTATTCATGTGTATCATTTAGAATTGAAGATTATGGACAAATACATTTCACACAGAATGATCGCAAATCATGGGTAAATCTTAACCTTTATTTCTAAGAATATTGATCGAATTGATATTAGTATATACGTTACCCATTCGATCCTCCTCAAGCTGGTGAATCGGCATCACAAAATGAAACTCATGAACAGAGAACAAATCATACTACCGTAGAAGAACGGAATCGCCGATGGAATTTTTCTGTGATCCAACAACTGCCTACTATTCATACTATTGTTCCTATGCCATCTGTAATACGCGAACCTGCTAAACATCTCATTGAATTGTTACACGATAAATGGGAATTGCCTCCACCTGAATTAATAATTTCAGTCACAGGTGGCGCAAAAGTTTTTAATTTACCACAAAGAAGTCGTATTGCTCTTCAAAAGGGTCTTGTCTCAGCTGCTGTCACGACTGGTAAGAGTCGAGATTGGTATTATGTTTATGCCTATCTTTGAATAGATGCTTGGGTGTTCACTGGAGGAACGTATGCTGGAGTTATGAAGGATGTGGGTGATGCATTCGAAAAATGGACATACAAAACTAGTAGTGTGGATAAAGGTCATGTTCAAGTTCCTGTTATTGGGATTGCAAGTTGGTATTATGCGACAAGTAAGAGAAAGTGAACATGCTATTCTGGTCAACATTCGCTTTTGTTATTCAAAAATAGATTATAGACAACTCATTCAACGACGACGTGTGAAACTAAGCAGTGTAGGAGTATGTATATAATTTTCATAGGTCTCCCGAGAAATGAAAGCATGATCTAGAGTGCAATGCCAACAGCGACATTTAGCACAGTAGCCGATCGTGAAAAATTGTATCGCAATTGTGTACCACAAGAGAAGCCAGCATCATATCCTCTCGATCCAAATCATACTCACTTTATTCTACTTGATGATAAATGTGGTCCGAATGATGAAACCTGGAGACGATATGGATATCCAGTTCGAGCCGACCTCACTATTCAGTTGCGTGCTGAAATTGAACAGGAAGCTCGTTGTAGCTCTCATTATACACACAGTAAGTAATACTCTTCTTTGTCTAGTTATTAGGTTTTGTTCGTCCATAGATTATAAGATTCCCATTATTCAAATATTAATCGAAGGTGGTCCTTCATCTCTTCTAACAGTGGTTGAAGCAGTAATGCACGAAACACCCGTCGTTGTCATTGACGTACATATTCAAAATAGAATTCAACAGAAGAACATACTTCATTTTCACTTTTATGTAGGGTACTGGCAGAGCGGCTAATTTTATTGCAAAAGCATACAAAGCATTATATGACAATCAAACAACATATTTTCCACCAGCGAACAATAATGCTAATTTGTAATATTCATATTTTCTTTTGCAAAAAATAAATTAAATTATATTTTAGAGAACGAGTAATAAAAGAAGATGGTAAGGACATCATCACTGGAAGTAATGAAAAGCGTTTTCGTGACATGATAAGATCAGACAAAGGCTTCTTCTTAATCAATACTTTTTTTACTATGTCCTGACGATCCCGAATTTAAATTGAGTGATGCCATACTTCAAGCATTATTTCGAGGTATTTACATAATTCCTATCGATTTTTGAATGATTTTTCTACTTAGCGGCAAGTATGCCCAAGCATGAAATATCTGATGCTCATGTACAAAAGCTCAAATTAGCCATGGCGTGGAATAAGTTTGATCTGGCCGTTTCAGACATGCTCATCGACGAAAACGTTAAAACTCAGTGGACAGTAAGTATTATAAACGAAGAGAATCTTAGTTTCTGATTTTCACTACTTTTGAAAGGATGTTCAATTAGACAGTGCTTTAACTGATGCAATACAGCATGGTTCTGTACAGTTTGTTGAACTTCTTATTGAA